ACAACAGCAATCAATATATCACAAATAAGAAGCAAATTCTGAGTTATGTGATTTTCTGTTTTTCAGAATGCTAACCCGCGGAAACGGAAACGGACCGAGTAAACTAAAGGGAGATAACTACGTTTCTGGCAATTTGTATGGTGGAGTGCTTATTTGCCTTAAATTATAATAAAACAAATTGTAATATCAGGGATTTCGTGCAGTTTGGCCAACATTTACACCACGAATGTAATAAGTCAATGGCAAAAGTCAGTAAGTCAAATAGAAAAAAATCACGGATGCAGTAAAATTTCAAAGTTAAATCAGTACTTTTTAAAAATCGGGCATAGCTTCCGCGCACCAGGCTACTCGCCGGGTCTGGGGGCAATACAGCCATAAATTTCACCCCCCATCCCCCAGACACGAGGACAACTGTCACAAGCGTGCAATGTCTGACCCTTTCCCCATGTTGAAGCAAATTGAAAAAAAATCACCCTTTTACTTACTTACCTTTTGTTGAAAAAATCAAAACTCCATTGCAAACATTAGACATTGATACAACATATATCCCCGTGTTATAGGTTTTCGGACGCTGAAGAAACATTTATAGTTTTCTCGCTAATCACATTAACAACTGTAAAACATCTCATTCACGTATAGGCCAAAAGACAGCTTTATCTTGAAAACAAGCCATCATCTGAGTATTTACAATTTCTGTGTGGTGTCATACCCCACGTTACAGTGCAAGTACTCGTGATAGATAACATATGATGTCCGAAAACCTATGATGCTGAAAGCCCTGATCGAAAACAGGACAATCTCGACGGTTGTCCGGTTTTCGATAATATTTTCGGAGTGTTTTTTTTATATATTTTCACGCGGAAGATGATTTTTTTTTTCCCCCGAGGACTACAGTTTAAAAAAACGCGATTTCCCGCGGAGATTTCACATCCCTGTAATATAGTGGAGATTGGTCTCGTCGAGTGAGGAAAGTTGTTGAGCGTGTCTTTCGACGTGATAGCGGTTTCTATATATGCCCGCCTTTCCAACGTCATTTTGAACTGTAGGTGTTTGAAAAGTGATCTAAAGATCATAATTAACATAATAATGAATAACAATAACCTTTCAGAAAATGACACGTCGTCCATTTTGTAGCTAGAATGTTGCCAAAACAGTCGATCATTTGGGACATACACATCCACATGCCATCGCTACAATTGAAATCATTTTATACTCCGAACCCCCATGGGATTCTGGGTCAGTATGTCTCCAGTAACCATACGTGTCTAACGAGGCGACTAAATGGATCGTGTGGTCAGCATGTACCAATATTCCCGAGGTAAGGGCGTTAAAAGTCCAGTTTCAGCCCTTGCCGAACTAAGATGGAATTTCTGGGATCGATCGAAACGCAACCAGTGGCTATTACAGGTTATGTCCCTTCTATGTCCCAGCCAACTGACCAATCCGATTCCACTTATTGTATCACTTGCACTTGCTTCAAGCAAAATGGCGGCGCTCTGATCGATAATCAAGATCTATAGTGTTATAAAACGGGTCTTACCTCGCGAAGTGCATCAAATCACTAAGTACCTTGATTAAAAACATGAGAAGATTTGCAAAATATGTCGACACCCATTTAGCGGTGCATATGCTTTGCAAATCCTGCAGTCCACCGAAATCTGCACGTTGAAATCCATGTTTCATGTTTGCGAACGGATGTGTAGCTCGTCACGCGATTTTGATTGGACTTTGCATGGACTCTAAGTCCAGCCAATATGTAACTCCTGAATTCCAGCCTAGTTTTTGTTTGCAAGATATTTGACACGAGGCGCGAGGGGTAGATAATTAACCTTTCAACTATTACCTAAAACTAACATTTTCAGTGGCTATTATGAAGTAGTTGTGATAGTGGTAACATGCGTTTCACAACGCTGTTATTAAGTAAGCGAGTATAACGCCACTTTGAACAGTTATATCACGGCAAGTCAGCTTGTTGGTGGCAAGGCCGAAGTAATGTGGGGTCTTAGACGATTACCAATTTAGCTCAACTCATGGTGCCGATGTTGAAATACCAACATAAACAATCTGGTGGAAACTTAGAACATACGATCAAATGTTTCTGGAACGCCCAACACACAACTCTGCACAGGGTCGTCCGACCCTTAAAACAGATGAGATCATAAAAGCAATACCTCATTGCTGTTGCACCTTCCTGAAGTGAGACTGATGATACATAAAGATATTTGAAACTGATAACTTCTACAAACGTTATATAAATTTAATAACATGCAAAAAGTCCTTCAGGTATTTTAAACAATGGCTATTTGCAACAATGTTTATTGTTATAAATGCGTGTATATTTTCACGTAATTTATCTTGATCGAATGGTCTCACCCTGCTTAAATAGAATATTTGAAATCGGCCATTTCCATAAGTTTTGGTGTAATGTTCGAGCGAGTGAGTTGGGTATAACACCGTTCTTAACAGTATTCCAGTTATATCGTGGCGTGTCAGCATAATGTGGTAGGAAAGCCCGAAGTGATGCAGGTCTCAGACGTTTACCACTTCGGTGAAACCCACGAGCACGGGTATGGTGCTGACAAACCTAGAAACATAATCGGGGCAAACCGGGATTCGAACCCCCAATCTGGTGTGCCCAAGGGACGCAACTCTGCACAGCGAATCGCGGCGCCTTAGACGACTGGGCCACCCGTGTCCCTGTAATGTTCGATTACACTAGAGATTATTTCCACAAATAATATTTTTATTAAGTGCGTGTATTTGAAATAACTTCGTTTTCGTTTAATGTGTGTATTTCTGATTGTATTCACAAAGTGTAGCATTCAAGTCTTAACAAATATTTTCATTAAACACATGTTAATCTGCTGGTGTTGGAATACTGTCGAAAATTTTCAAAACCTAGAATGCATGTCGATCAGATAGCAGTCACATATCATAAAGGTATTTTGAAATGGTTATCGGGTACAATGGTTATTTCCACAATGTTTTTGTTATTTTTATACAATGTACATATGTGATGTTCAAATACTATATTAACAGATATTTCCACAATTGTATTCAAATAGAAATACCAGTCGTTATTTTCCACAATTGTTTCCATTTGACCTGAATGTATTCAAATACCACAACACCAACAATGGTTATTTTCATTAAATATATGTATATCTGATAGTGTTAGAATAATGTTATTTCCAAACCTTATTTGTTGTAGTGTACTTTACCTGAGGGCATTCAAATACTTGAGGTATTTGGCTTTACATATTTGGAACATTGGTTATTTAAATTGTTATTTTAACTATTTAATGCATGTATATTTGTTGGTGTTTGAATACTAGAGGTATTCGTTGAAAACTCTTTGTTGCTTGTAATTGCCCAAGTTCACCCAAGATAAATCATCACAGCAGTAATGACTTCACATCCTGTTGTGTCGCATCTCGGATGAGGAAGAGATCAACTTTCCATTCAACAGCAAGCATGAATCACTTTCTCTGTGACAAGTCAATGAATCAGCATATACCATGAAATGACAAAACTAACACCTTTTCTTATCTATTCTATACAGCTAAACACTTGTCTCTTTCATGATTGACATGACAATATAACAAATTCACAACAAATTCTTTGTACTCCGAAATGAACTGGTTCATGTAATGAAACACATAAAAGTCCTAATCCAGAAAGCATATATGAAAAAATGAATATTTCTTAACAACTGAAATGCCTCATGTTTAGTCAAACATTGCAGACACTACATTGAAAGAATATTTCTTAAATTTTGAATGTGAAGACAAATCCCACTACATTTACTTATCATTTTCAAGGCCCTATGTTAAAATGTTATACCATGTGTGTTGTGAGTTCATTGTGGAGCCCTGAAAGCCAGTGAGACAATTCATCAACGAAAAATATTTAACTAAGTCCAGTTTTGACTGATGAGAAAACAATTACAATACACAAATTTAATATCAGCTGAATAATGTAACATTCTTTCAGCAAACTTAACATTTTATTTATCCTAGCTTGAAATAATTGATAATCTCATATGCACACTTTATCTTGTCAACATTTTATTCCATTACATATCTTTTTGACAACTATGATAAACATTCAAACATTGTATAGTTGTAATATGGAAATCTTTGAGCCTGGATACGAATGAAGGAAAAATCAAAACTTGATGAGAACTGTCAGCACTACTACTAGATCAGCAAAATCAAATAGAATCCTATCCTTTCAGATTAAGTGAATTTGAAAATAATGATACGATTGAATGACTATTTCCTCTCATTTAGACAATAGTTTCCTCAGATTCATGATCACTTCCAGTTACAAAATAGAAATGACACCTCGAATCAGAGCAATCATTATCTGTTGTGCTCCAGCTAAGTATCACCAATTTGTCAATCAACTGAAATCTAGGTATGCCAAGTATTGTAAGGTACAATTACATGAATAAATTTCTGGTTCCAAAATCCAACAATTCATGTTATATAACAAGTGCATAATCTTGTGCTGGACAAGATACTGGATCAATGCTTTGTGATTTACTTTATGTAATTAAGGATAAATCTTTTTCCTTTCTCAAAAGCATCTCCCACTTTAACCTCTCAGGAATTAGGGGTATTCTTTGTGATGTCTCTCGTGCTGTTTATTACAAATATTTCAAAATGCATCCCAGATTACAATAAGTCACAAGATTTAACAATTCTTCCTCTGGCAATATGCTAAACAACATAAGGGTACATAAAATATTCATAATAAAAGCAATGCTTAAAACTGCATCCAGTGTTTCACAATGAGCGATAAATTAGTCTTGCAACATCGAAAATGTTCATGTTCATCAGAAAATATTTCTATACATCCATCTCAAAAGTGCCCCTGCTATTTCAGTGTTGAGCATCAAGTCACAGGTTTAAGTTGAACCTGACAAAACGGTGAGCAACTTATATAGAGCACTAAATGAGAGGAAATACTGTGTAAAGAATCAACGAAGCTCTACATACACATGCTTAGTATACACTTTATTGGGATAACTGAAACAAAATGCTACCAATCCCACGGGCACAAGCTGCAAGTCCAGTAGCAACAACAGTGGCGCTCGCTTGCTCCATGCTTGAAGAGACACGATGCCATATTGGCCACAAAATCATCTGCTCCAAACTTGTTTTGCTGCAATCAGTACACGAATGTTTTAAAAACAACTTAGTTTTTCACTGAAGTTCTGAGTTTGTATCACTGGAAAAGTGTTTTTATCACGATTTGAAGTCTTTCATGAGTTTTTCAAGTTTTTCACATTTAAAAGAATTATCACGGCACAATCTTGTCCACTTGTGTAGCCTAATGTAAAACCATGAGGCTTTGAGTCTTGACCCAGAGTGGCAGCTGAGTGTTAAAACCTTCGATCAGGTAGAGAGCATCTGAAGACAAGTCTTAGACGGGTTGCCTCCCTTTACCAAGGGAGATTACCCATCTAGGCATCAGTACAACAAGCTACATTGGTCTGTTGACGTCAGTTTCCATCATGGATTATCTGTGGTACACATCCACAATAAAATTGATTGGTAAAGTATTAGGTGAATTTTATGTCTTCTAAGACGATGTCTTACTAGGTTGTCTAAATCCTTGAAAAATGTCCATTCCATAACCAGAAATAGATAAATTGTGTCACAATGGCAAAATCATCAGTTCTCGTTGCTTGGCATTAAAATCCTCATTGGGAGTTACTTTACTTCCTGAAAAAGAAAGGAAATATTTGCAAACTACAAATGATGCAATATGTGATCAATTAGCCTCTTTTAACAAAAGGTTGTATCATCTAATATGATCTATAAATACAATTCCTGACAGCATTAGAAATGATTTAATCTATCTGACCCAGTACAAGAAATAAGCTTACGTTTTCTAACATAAGAGTTAATATCAGCACACTTGTTACGTTAAAAGAGAAAAAGTTAATTTAAATAAAACCAACCTTTACATAATTTGCCAAGAACGACACAGCACGCCGCCATTTACTGCAAACAGAAAACAGGTGTAAGTGTCAAACAGTAAATGCCATGTACAAAATTACCAGGCCAATGCAGAAATGAGACAAGACAAACAAAGGAATAAAACATAAAATCAAAACAGCAGATTTCCACTGTCAAGTGATTGGTGTTGAACCTGCTATGTCTGAATTACTGTTGTCAAGTACAATATTTGCACAATATGATGGCCCAAATGGGACAGGCTGATGAAACAGAAATGGGGAAATCATCAAATGTTCATATTTAACGTTCCTTTTTGATTGAGATCTATCATTATTTTGAAAACATTTTACCAGTAACTATTTTCAGCTTCCTCTGAAGACTGAAGACTAAATTTAAAAAATTAAATTCTTTGATCAATGTTCACTGGAACATGTCAAGTGGACATGCATATTTGTTAACATTGACAGAAACCATGAGGCACAAGTTCCCTGATCAAAAGTACCAGTATTAATTTATGTTAAGCATTGAGGCACTTCTTTTCTGTATGACATCTAGGTATTTGAATATAACATGTCCTTTTTTTAATATTTATTTGTTTCTTGCTTAAGGTACACCACACTCAGCAATATTCCAGTTATATGATGGCAATAATCAAGTCTGGAGTGGACAATCAAATGATTGATATCATGAGCATCAATCCACGCAATTGGGATATGATGACATGCATCAAATAAGTCAGCGAGCCTGACCAGTGACCACCCAATCCTGTTTGTTGTCTCTGTGACAAGAACGTCCGTCTCTTACAAGCTGAAGACCTTTTCTAACCCAGATCTTCATGGGCCCCCTTTGTTAATAAATTATTTGTGAAGTGATCCATAAAATAGAATGGTCCCCCTCTTCAATGTCTACAGAGGCAGTATCAAAATATATCAACATCAATCATAGTTGATAAAAATGTTATTTAGTAATTTGACAGAAGTCTTTTTGGTCAACACATAAACTGCACACAAAAAAAGAAGCTTTAACAGTATTCAAATTAAGCATGAAAGTCAAGGACTCCTTGTCATAAGCCATATGTTAACCATGAATAATTAATAAAGGATATTAGTGTAATATTTCTTCTCCAAAAGTACACTTTTCTAAAACAAAAAGTGGCCTAAACAAGAATTCACTTAATTCTCTTTCCTATTCACTATTGCAAAGAATTCATGGATACCTAGCATTGTTATCTCATATGTATTTCGAGGCCCAGCATGACTCATGATCTCAGCAAGCAGCCCAGCACCAAGCTCACATATATATTGATCACGTAACACAAACACAATGATATAGGGATAGCCATACGAAGCACCTGCTGCCTGACTTGCTGCCTCCATTACACAAGACTAGTGGCAAGGTGTACAACCCCCGGAGACATTTGTGGTAACACTAATCAGGTGGCTAATTAATGTGTGTGAGTGTATAGGTACCACCAGAGATGAATAGCATATTATCCAAGGATTGTAAATCCATGAATAGTAAATACATATTACCGTATTCACCATATTAAGAGCCATGTTTAAATAAGCAGTGTTAAGCACACCCAAACACCATGTGTTCTCAGTGTGATTTTAAAACAAACATGTTTGAAATGAAAAGGGATCCTGGGTTCCTTGATGTTTGCTGCTATAGTATCTAGAGACCCCCCAAATAATTCAACGCAACTTTTGAGATTAGTACTGCTACTAGTGAATGAAGAACAAACTCGTAGGTCACACCTCACAGAATTACGATTTTGTTAAAATAAAGATTTTTATACACATATGTACTATTCGCAATTTCTTACAAAAAAACAGTGATAAAATGTGTTTTTTTAATTTCACTTATTCCCATATTTGTAAAACAGTAGCCCAGCGTTTTACACGACACACAAATGTGCGTCTGGTACGGACAAATGTGCAGAATTGACACAGAGAATAAATATGCTGCATCCTTTGGGACGTACTATGAGATTTCTTGTTTTTAAAACACAGCAAGAGGAATTATGGGTGTCTGTAATGTCATCCATCAGACATGACAACTGTCCACATGATCACTGATTCAATCCAGGATCTAAAGTAATTATCAAACTGTACAGTACACTATGCCATTTAATTACTTCACAGGACCCCTAAAATTGCCTGCAAGGACCCTTAAATTTAATTTTTGAGGGTCCCCTGGACTCAGCGGTAGAAACTAACATTTCTAGGCCACTAGTCCTTATAATGATAAAGCAAAACCCTTAAAAATGGCAAATTTCTACTAGTCCTTGTGATACCTTAACCATTGGGCAGTTTTGCAAGGAGTACAGGACTAGTGCCAATTTCAAGGTCAAGTCAAGGTAAAACCCAGGTTGGCCCTAAAAATATTAGGTCAAAAGTCATAGGTTTTTTTCCCTTATTTCAGGCAAGTTCTTTTTGTCGGTCAAAAATATATATACGGTAGCCTAATTTAGCAAAAACACTGTTACAAGAGATTCATTCATAAGCTACACTGAATGTACTTTGCATTCACACTGTACAGAATCATATTTTTTCTTTTGAAATTGGTCAATTATTTGTAGAGGAATGGAGAAAAGCTGTGAAGTGGATCTAAGGAGATTTTACCATTATGATTATTAATACCAACTTACAGCAATCAACATAGTAAGCATGGTAAGCAAAGACATGGGCTTTTTCTTATTTTTTCTGTCTGTAGCTATATTAACATTGTGTTGTTGAAAGTATGGGAAAATATGAAAGGTAAATATGCTTCATAATTGTACAGAAGCAATCATCCCTTGGTAACAGAGCACTTTTTCAGTGGCCATTCTTTAGTGTGTTCATTATTTCTGTCATATCAATAAACCATAAAAAGTATTCTTTGCTACATTTGTTTCAGTTGTCCATTCATATAAATTTAACAGCTTTTTGGCACTTTACGTCAAATGGAATCTGTTTTGGCGGATAATCTCTACTGGTTATTCTTTTGGATTCACAAATTATATTTCTTACCCATAGAGCAAGGCATACCAACATAAATTACATTTCTGGGTTACTCCAGATGGTCAATTGATGAAGCAAGAATGGTACTCACTCATGAAATCACAGCCCCAACACTAACAGTACTGCCCTCCCTGACCTATCAATGATGTTTGTGAGCATGTTTTATATACTGCTGTTGTCAAAACGTTTGTCACGTCAAAGCAACCTGACTGACGTGGGAAGATGGCCTCAAACAAGTGGAAACTCTAGTTCAGCGAAACAATACTCAATAGATGTATCCAGTCAGTGAAAGCACCCATTTACCTCATTTTGATTGTGTCATAATATTCATTGATTTTTGTCTTGATATGGAAGCAGTTAACTCAACCCAAGTGGTTTTCTTGGCAGGCATAACATATTATCTAAAAAAAAACAGCAGGGAAAGTTCTATAGGAACTTAAACATTTTTACATGGTTCTTTGTGTTTGATATTGATCAAAACCTCCATACGACTTTTTGTTGCTATAAAAGCAAGGTGACAACTCAGCAACAGACATTGGCATGAGTCCTACAGTTCTTGCCAAACTGTCCAATAGTTGAGGTAGCATAAACATGATAAAGTATGAGAAGATATTTGCCATTTTTAAGGGTTTTGCTGTATGTTGTATCATAAGGACTAGTGGACTAAACATGTTAGTTTCTACCGCTGTAATAGCAGATGAAACTTTGGTAATGGTTGTTATCTTGATTTAGACACTAGGTAGTGCTAGTATGACATTCATGTATCACTACACACATACATGAACTTGAAGCAGAATTTGTGATTGCAATCATTACAAGTTCCAAGTGAAGGCATGATAAAGTTTAAGCCCTGTCAAAAATATTGACAGCTGTCATTATAATGCAAGTTTGAAATAATGAGAATTTGAACTTTGTAGGCATCTGTACCATTGCTCATATTTACAATGCAAACCATAAGAATACATATTGATGGGTGAGGAGTCGTCATGGGAGAATTTCAGAAACATTGTACTGTAAACAATTTGCCTGAAGCCAGTTTGCAAATAATTTGTTAGCCTTGTAAACTTAGTGTTAGCTTGTCCGGTCTGGTCAAAATTCCATTATTGATCAAATTCAAGAAAGCTATTTTTGGCTAGCTGGTCAGGTTATCAGTCTAGGTTTCCTGATGGCCTGAGTGAGTTAGGATGAGCTTAATGTCACTTTGAACATTATTATAGTTACACCATCAGCCTCATGTAGGATAAAAATTAAAAGGGAAGCAGGTCCTGGACAACCATCGCAAATTGTTATGGTGCTGATGATCCAAGGATCCAATCAAACCCATGATTATAGATTTATTACATCTCAGCACATCGAATTGTGACCAATTATTTGCAGACTTATCACGGTGGGGAACTACCAATCCCAAATATGAAGATATATAAAAATAAATAACTAATAATATCTGTTTCACAAGTTGTGCTGGTGACCACATATAAATACATGTCCTCATAAAAAAACCTTAAGACCAGCAAACATCCTTAAGAGCCAATTGAATTAATACATTTCCCAAAATAAGTGTTCCGTCTTAAATGTCTTTGGAGACAGAAAGATGCCATTTTTTTTTTATCACCTGACACTACTGACAGTCACTCTTGTTGACGAGTATGGTTTTACGCCACTTTAAGCAATAGTCCAGCAATATCACGGTGGGGAACTACCAATCTCCAATATGAAGATATACAAAAATAAATAACTACTAACATCTGTCTGACTTTGCAAATACTTCAGTTTTGAGGTAACTGCATTGTTTCAAGAAGATGTGACATTAACATCAATGTTTTTTCATCCAAAAATAACTGGACGTGTCAACAATGCGTGAGTGAGAACCTGTGATGTTGCTCAGCAACCATGTTTTCTGTTAGACAGTTGACTCTTTCACAAGTTGTGCTGGTGACCACTTATAAATACATGTCCTCAAAAAAAAACCTGAAGACCAGCAAACATCCTTAAGAGCCAATTGCATTAATACATTTCCCAAAATAAGTGTTCCGTCTTAAATGTCTTTGAAGACAGAAAGATGCCATTTTTTAATCACCTGACACTAGTAACAGCAATCTTGTTGACGAGTGAGTATGGTTTTACGCCACTTTAAGCAATGTTCCAGCAATATCACCTGAAACTTTTAGAAAGCTGAACAACTGACTCAAGAACCCACACATCTTTCATTTAGATCGCTTACCTGAAGTGACCTTCTATGGAGGTGTCCTCAGATCAACATGAGGTATCATACCAGAGTAAAAGAACTGATTCAAATGAGATTAAATAACTATTAAAAATCTACTATGTCATAATACGAAAGCAGAGATATCATTCCTGAGACAATATATGCTACTTATCTCTGTGCGGAGACAAATGAGAGGGCATGTTGTATGCGTGTAACGTCTGTAAATTATATCAAGCCTGGAAGAGACAATCCAGTGATTGACTACATGGGGCTGCCTAATGATAAATAAGGTTAAAGATAAATCTGTCATAAGCTGTTTTCATCAGTGTATATCTCCATTCTATTATGATAAATAACCATCAACAAAATCACTACCATAGCTTTTATTTGAGCCCAATTCGATTGAAAAAATAAACGTCCAATCAAAGCTCATGATCAGAGAAACTGTGCAAAATTAGTACTGAGATAGTTGATTTCCCTCCCTAAACAAAGCTATGGCAGCGATGTAATATAATAGCTGGATCATCAATGTTGCAAATGCTGAGAGCGTGTGTCCCCATTAGGAGTGTAATGGTTGTACAACTATTTGCAATTGTTTGCCCAATTGTAAGTACAAAATTAATGTATCTTAAAATGCCAATATCGTTGATAGTTTGTTGTTTCTTTCTTTGTTGCTTAACACAGCACACAGCAATATTCCAACTTTATGATTGCAGTTTGTAAATAATCTAGTCTGGACCAGACAATCCAGTGATTGACATGAGCATCAATCCATCGGTTGGAATATGACATGCATCAACCATGTCAGCAAGCTTGACCTACCGATCTCATTACTCGCCTCTTACGACAGACATAGTTGGCTTTTACGGCAAGAATGAGTTGCTGAAGAACTTATTCTATCGAAAATCTTCACGTCTCATTGATAGTATGCACAATTGATAGTTTCAATAGTTGCAATTAGTCATAAATCATACATGTTTTATGTTAATTTCAAACTTGTCTTTGTTGTTGGTTCACAAGAAATATGACAAGACCAGAGTTACTTTTCCTTGGTTTTAGTTGTGTAGTAGGGAGAAAAATGAGATGTCAGCAATACTTTATTAATTTCTATTGCAATGATTAATATAATTATCCAGTTGGCTTTAATACTACTGCAATTGTGATAATATCCCTAACAGTCACACCTAGTCCCCATATGCACATGGGTCGATTTAAGTGCTGGCCCATTGGCCTGTGGCCACTTTAATTCACAAAGGGTTTGCTGAAACAAATTAGAAGGCCTGTCTGGCTGGTCAAAATTTCATCCCTTCTTGAATGTTTAATTTTTTTAATGGGATCTTCTAAGTAGAATGACAACTGGACGTCCTTTTGTAATGTTGTGTACCGCAACTTCTTTATTTGCTCACATATCACCATGAAATGAGGCAAATGGAAGCTAAAATTAATCTAAGAGTGCATGAAAAACGTTTTAGGGTGAAGAGTTCTAAACTTTTTAGGAACCTGCTCGCTGGCAACGTGACCTCAGGTACTCTTATTTTGCAGCTACCACCATTTAGTAATAGACCTGTCTGGAGAAAGGCCATTAACTTATACAAGGAAGCCCTGCTGGCTACATACAAATTTGTTGTTAAATCTACCTGTGTGTATCAAAAAGTCATCACAAATGTTCAGTGCTTGCAGAGTTATAAGCATTACTGTCTCTATTTGAATTTGATGCTATTAGTAATCAATGTCGGATTTGCTATGTGTTATGGCTCATGGAAGATGTTGCAACTTTTTTTAACGTCTGTGCTTCATACTTACCTGTACCAAACCTATCAAACCCCAATACATACCTTCTTGACATCTTCTTCTTGGCGCTTCTCATAGTGAATAAAGTCATCAAAGATAGATGTTGTGTGCTTATAATTGTGGAAGATTTTCAACACTTGTTTGCCTTTCTCTGGTGGAACCTCCTGAGTGTCCCGAGAGTTTGTCACGGGTTTATTCTCATTGTTCTCCAGGCGTATGTGTCGCAGCTGGCTGTTGGGGACATCCTTGACATAGATCCACTTCACTTCAAAGGAACCCTTCCACTTATCCTGAGCCCATACGCCACAATTTTTCAAATAATCCACAGGCGACATCATTTGAGCCAATCCACAGAAATGGCCACTACCGTTCACGCTATACAGAAGATAGACAGGCCCCTTTCCTTCTCGCTCACGGATGGCAGCATCTAGTCGTTTGTTTCCATGTTCTGTACTACACCAGATGCTGTACTTAATCGATCGGTGAATATCATCCTCCGAATAGCTCTTGATAACAAAGAAGCGGGCTCCTTTGGGGTTCAAATTATACTCTTTGGGATTATACTGATTGACCGATTTCAGCCTGTCCAACACAGGGTGCGATACTGCAGCAGCAGCACTTGCCGAAGCAGATGCAGATGCAGAGGTTGACGAACTGCCTCCTGCATTGCCACCAGAGTTGTTTTGGTTGTTAGAAGTTGAGTTCCCAGAATTGTAAGGTGTCATTTGTCGTCGAGGAGCACTAAATCCCTGTCTTGGCTGTTGTTGCTGGCGATTACCAGAGTTTCCTCGATTGTCCCAAGTGCCTATGTCCATGTTATGCTTGTTGGGGTTCACAGGCGCTCTTGGAATTGTCCTAGGTTTCATCTGAGGCTGAGGACGCGCTGGCTGACTTGCAATGGCAGCCCAAGATGCTTTCTTTGGAGCTTGGGACCCACCCCCAGTCACCATGGGAGGCCCCTGAGGACCACCCACATTACCATTCTGTTCAACTCCCATATCATTTCCAACACTCTCCATTTTCTTTCCATCTCCCAAGTTCATTCCTTTCAATCCCTGTTCCACACTATTAACGCCATCACGATCAAGTTCACCATTCATACCAGTATAAGCCTCAGCTGGCATCATTTGATCAGGCCGGTAATATTCCTCAGTGTATTGTCGGTTATTTTTCTGTCCCTGGCCTGCATTTCCCCAATAGTCCGGTGAGTAATCCCACCCAAAAGGTGGGTAACCAAAACTATTGAAAATTCCATTGTAGTCATAACTGGTCATTGAAAACATGGGTGGATCCCCGCCATTTGACCAGGGTCCAGCACCAAGTCCTTGGTCCATGTACGGAAACGACATCGACGGAGTGTAGTAACTGGGCAGGAAGGGGTCGGAAACTCCAGGGCTTGACATTGGTGCGGTACTGTAGCCAGCCTGCTGAAACAAAAACATTGAAACTCAACAAGTCTTCAGGACACTTTACAAGAAAAACAATGTAAGTACACTGGGATGCTTTAAGCCTTCAAATATATCAATTCATTGAACTTGTCATACTTAATGGCTGTGGCAAAATTGCACCTCTGCAAAACTTCACCATTTTCGTAAAAACAGATACTGAGATAGTGAAGGACAAGGAAAAACTGCACCTTACATTTACCAATTAAGAAAACACATTTTATGTGGTAGTATTTATGCTTTATTTATTGGTAACTTTGATTGTATTTGTGTCTTATTTCAACACAAAACTAACATCATTGTTATGTATCATTGTCACATAGTACCCGTGAAGATCCGTGGTAGAATGGGTCTTCAGCAACCCATGCTTGTCATGAAAGGTGACTATGATTGTCGTAAGAGGCGACTAACAGGATCAGGTGGTCAGACTCGCCGACTTGGTTTTTTGATGCATACGATGCGCATGATATCAATCACTGGATTGTCTGGCCCAGATTCTATTTACAGACCGCCTTCATATAGCTGGAATATGGCTGAAGGCAGCGTTAAACACCAAACAATTGTCACATAGGCTATTTTTTGTTTTAAGGTGATTAACATTTCAAAATAAGATGTGTTTGTATGTGAACATGTAACTTTAATTTCATTTCTTGCTTGTTCAAAACTGAAGTGAAAAAATATGAGGTGCTGTTTTTGCCTTGCAACAGTAACAGTATGGCGTGGGTTCGTTTTAGCTATAACCTGTTAAACACTTATAGGGTGGGTGAGTTGGGTTTAACGCTGATTTCAACAGTATTCCAGTTACATCGTGGCGTGTCAGCCGATTTCAACAGCATTCCAGTTACATCGTGGCGTGTCAGCTTAATGTGGGAGGAAAGCCTGAAGTGATGCAGGTCTTAGACGTTTACCACTCCGGTGAAACCCACAAGCATGGGTATGGTGCTGACAAATCTAGAAACTAAAAACTTATAATATTGATGACTGAAAAATTACAAAAACACTTAACTGAATCTATAAATACTGATTAATGAAATATACAATCAAGTTTTGAAAAGGACAGTATTTGATTTCATGAAAAGAAAGGCCATCTAGTTATTGTGAAAGACCAAAATGTGACCAGTTAAAATATTGATTCATCAACTGTGACAAACCAATTATGACCTATTTATCACCAATGAAATTCCTTCACTAATCACTGGGACGTACCTGGTGGGGTGGTTGAAGGTATTGGTCGAACTCTTCGTCTTTCACGCCGGAATCTTTATTGGGACCATTGGACACTTGAAACAAAACAAGTTGTTTGTGGCATTATCATTACACATTTGTAAATTTTACTGTGTTGTATTCTAGATAGGTTGCAAATGCCTTCAAAAGAGAAATTTAAAAGATGCTCTTAAAGAGTGATGTGAGGGTTGTGCACATCTTTACAGCCCATAAATCCCATGACATGTCAAGGATAACAAACAGTTCTGGGCATAAATGAAATTTTCACGTTGATTCAACCATTGTTTCGATAAATAAGTACTATGCAAAATATCATTATATTCATTTACATTATAAGCTGATCGTGTTATCAACAATACTCTATTGGGGACATTACTTTGTATTGTAGCAAATGCATACACTGACCTGTGGTTACCCCAACCTGACTTAAATAACCATGGTTACAACTTACAACTTCAAACAATTTCACATCAAATCTTCATTCAGTGTGCAGGCCTACATGAATGAGAATCTTAACTTTCAACATACATAAGTGATTATTCAGCATGTACCAGGTTTTTCCCAAATTACAATCACACCCTTGATGTGTACTTGGAGGTGTTACATAAGCAACGTTAACCTAGCATGACAGGCGTATTATAACTATCAAAACAATCTCATTTCCTTAATTATATCTACGATTTTGAGACTAAAATTATAAACAATCGTGGCAACGAGCAAGAAAATTGTTACAGCAACAAAACTCCTGGAGCATGTCTCTCAATCCAGGAAGTTCGTGTAGTTATTTCTTCAACTCGACCTTCAAACTAACTGATATAATCTCATTTCAAAACGAACAGCTCTATCACAAACAGTACACATGTTCATCGGACACTTTTCTTTGCACAGAATTGCGTCACATATAATATCGGAGACCTGCAAACCGAACATGCCTCGCCCAACTCCAAATAATGGCGGTAAAGTGGTTTCTGTAAAACCTTCCGCATAGTCCAGTTCAAATCGAACGAGACTCCTTATATATCAAATAAATGTCAAAGCAACTGCTTAACTGGACCCACACATGATATATATAAACTAACTGTCTAGTCTTCCATATGGAGAAAATGGACTCTGGTGTTATCAAACGTGGCCTATATATAATCGGAAGAGATGGCGTGTCACGTCGCCTAAATTCTGCCCCTTTGATTAGGACTCGGGATAGTAACCAATATATACCTTGATTTGGCTGTCCTTTTGTCCTCTATACGGGAATCGGTGGATATGAAATTAAACAAAAACATGTCATTAGTTTATTCAAACACAATACAAACCATATTGCGACAGAAAACTACCACTATCGAACAATCGCGACCGACATTCTTAGCACTCGGTGTAAGATGGCCGATCGCATGGACGGGAACTCCATACCTGATCTACACTTGCAGACATCACACTAAGATGTTGAGTCCTTGAAGGGATAACAAATGTCTTTTCACAGTCTGATCACACAAAATGTTGTTAAAGAAGCAATCGGCACACTTTTTGGTTTAAAATAGGTCCTTTCCAACGAAAAAATGTCCAGAAAAATGACACTAATATCCCCTTCCACTGATCCAAGAACAATGGCGGCGGCTGCGCATGTGCCTCGATCCCGCGTGGACTCACGTGACAAAGTGACGTCATATTTCACCTATATCCTGTATCGACGGCAGGTGAACGCCCCAGGTGCCCAACCCGGGAATTTCAACATCAACAACATTTTGTGAGAATAATATCCAGTAATACAAGATCTTTTATTGTAGTAATATAAAATGTTAACTTCAAAACCTTGCAAAAAGTGTGTTTGTTATATATTTTATTCCCCACACCACAAAAATAAAGACAGCTGACTCGTAATTTACCTATACTAGAACCTGTCTTATAGGCCAGCTATATGAACATTTCTTTTTTTCTCTGTTTAGTACATTTATATATTTCTTCTCAAAATAGTATAAAAACATACATTTTATATTAATATCACTTCAATAAACTTATATTATAATTGTCTCTTTACTAAAATATATATTAATCGGTGAGTACAAAATCACTAACTGATATTAGATAGATAGATTAGATATTAGATATTACACAGTGATCAAGTCTCAATATATGGATAGTTCGTGTTTGAAAGGCGTTTAGAAATGATACACATAAGGAAGAGAATTTATGGATGTCAACTTCTTTATTATGAGGAGCACAACGTTGCGGAGTACATGCTTACTCAGCCGAATGACACTTGATGAAGGAGTAAGCATATACTCCGAAACGTTGTGTTCCTCATAATAAAGAAGTTCGTAATATTAAATTTCGTCCTAATATAAACACGTATTTCGGTGGACGTGGCCTCAAATGAATCCAAAGAATGATATCTGAATAAGACATCGAGATGATGGGAAACATGTCTTATTTTCAAAGAAGTGACTATGTGTACGAAATTTGGTTTAATGATCAGTACTCTCGGTATAGATTACGCTAGAGCACAAACTGAGCACATGGATACTTACCCGACAAACGTTATCCCACCTCTTGTCGTTCCAAATGTCAATAAAACTGGACAAAACAGCAGCCATACGAGCGATAATATAGGCCAGTGGCAACGACTCTCCGTGATCGAAGGTAATTCAATCAACAGGTGCGAGCTTCTCATGAACTCCAGGTAGCCCAGCCTGTCGAACGAAGGTGAAACGTGTTCTCACGGAATGCTGTAAGTGTCTTATCAATCCTTCGATCGTCTTTCCAAAACCAACGAAACCAATAAACAAGGGTTGGGTATCAGTCTATGCGCGAGCTCATGCTGAATACAATCCTACTAATTGATGGCGTAATTTCTAAATACACGTGGGGAAGCGCAGTCGTGGATTAATGCACCCAAACAGTCGGTCATTTCATCTGTCACTCAAGTCTCTCTACAGGTCAATTAGCACTTATGTGGCAAGTCCTTAGCGTCGGAGTTGTCAAGCTATTCTTCGATCAACGTCGGATTGAAGTCTGTGTAATTAACTTTGTTAATCCTGCAAGTTATCGGCGTATTGTTGACGGCTACCGTTTAGACATCAAAGAGAAGCGCGTCTTAAACAATAAATGGTTCCGACGTCAGACATCTGTCAAGTTTGTTCAGACACAATTGTACTATATTTAACGCTTCCATTGACTGTCTATGCGCCGGGAAAATGAAAGAGAACGCCGGTATACGTGGATAACATGTACATGATAATTCAGTAGAATCTGGGCATTGATGAATAATTAATTTGCCTGGGTATCACACCAAGGATATTGGAGCCTTCCCACGAAGTAGTCCTTTGGGTTTTCGGTAAAATGTCCTTGATGTGCAATGATGTTTTGTTTTTTTTGTTATACGGGAGGTTTACACTTGGTGGTCAAAAATTGTGAACTCACCCATGGAATATGTTTGAAAATAATGTTTGCTAGTGTTCCCTCATTGATTAGAAAAGTGCTCACTCATTTTAGATTGTTTTTTGTCTTGGATAAAGAATGAACAGGTCTATACATACTAAAGACAACTCATTTGCAAGTATAATTTTCAAGATGGGTAAGGCACAGTTAGAGCGCAAGTTCGTTTCTACCTCCTGGGGAGGTCGGTATTTGCAGCGTCATATATATATTTTGTGCAGTTTGTATTTTTGTTGTTTCGTTATTATTTTTTTATTGAGGACACAAAAAAGGTAAATGTAAGGATATTCAGCATCCCCATTTTCGATTGAGTAATACAAGTTGATACATTGCAGTATTTATTTCAAAAGAGACTCTGCAGTTCCGTGCGAAAACAATATTTGTTATATGTTTATGTCATCACTTACTAAGTTTTCAATTTCCTTTTTTATCCTTTCAACAGCTAGCTTTGACATGGAACAAAGAACTCAGAATCTTCTACCCCACCATGCTGCAAGCTTGCAATTGTAAATATATAATTTTAAATTTCTGTTAAAACGATAGGCTCTAGGCCTTGTGCATTTGCAAAGTTTTATGGAGGAGAAATGAATTTATTTTCATCTTTCTATATCTACAGTGGCTTCTGAGGTGAGGTGAAATGGGGCTTAAGGTCGCGTTCAAGATTATTGCACTTATATCGCGACGTGCATGCACGCGTGTCTGGGTGTGGGGCTACTTGTACTAGTCCGGATTAATGCCAATTTTATAGCCCACTGAGATACTGAACCACACTTTAACATGAATACCCCACTCAGACACAGTATACTGACTCCGAGCCGAGCAGTCCTAGTTTTAGCCCCTTTATGCCGAGCGCTAGACAGGGTGTCTCTCAAAAAGTACTATCTTTTAACATTTTTGGGGGGTATGACGCGGCCGGGGATCAAAACAAGGATCTTCCGAACTTCGGGTGAACGCTCTACCATTAAACCATGGTGGCGGTCAGTGGCTTCTGAGAAAAGTTGTCCCATTGGGTGTACTGTGTACCATGTCCAAAACATCAAACAAGGGCCATAACTCTATCAAAACAATTGCCCAAAGATATATACCCCGTCTTATTTCATGGCCTTGTATAGATAATAAACAGAATTCTCACCGTCTATTTTTTTAAATAATTGAATCCCTCATTTGTATTGACATCTATTTTAATTGTTACGTTAACGCTTGTTTCACGTTAGTCTTTTCTATAAATTAAATTCAAAAGCAATTGTGGGAGCTCGCTAAATACAGAATCGACACATGACAACATCGACTCAGCAGTAATTGTTCACTTTCAGACGCACGTTCTCGACCCGGGCTTGAACCCTGCAATGTTATGTCCCCATCGAGGGCGATTATAAACGTTCTAACTGTACATTGAGTGCAATCGTCTGTCAGGCAAAACAAACCCGACCAACGACTGTCACCCGCCACTCCCACACCTTGTTTTGCTCCGCGCCATGCCAACCTGTTGAGACCGGATAATGTAGCTAAAAATAGCACTCCGTCACACAACATTGCGCAGCTCCTTCAGGCTTAAGGGTTTTGGGCTATCAGCTGGCGAAAACGTGCCAATCGCGACAACAACAATTATTCAACTGTTATTACTGCTAATTACTCTTTCCACTGTGCAATTAGATTTTAGTTTTCTTCTGCCTAAAACGTGATGTGTTGCGCATACTTACATAAAACCTAGAAAGAATTCAGATATAAACGCGTGTTAAATCTCTTTCGCATGGCACACTCTCATGTTTTGTTTGTAAATAAACGTGTGTAGACACGACAACTGCACCATTAACCTTGACTTAACAAAACAAACCATGCTATATCTGCAAACAATTATCTGCTATACATATATGCTTTATTTACTTTTTTTTCGGTTTCCGTCCAATGGGTCTTTTAATTTGAGACCGTTCATTTAAATGGCATATGTGACTACAGTTGTTAATATATCTCTTAAAAAATGGCATTTGAAAAGAAATTGGAATAAAGTAATTTTTACTACGCTTACCGACCACGTGGGTCGATGTGTATGTTGGGGTACCATGATCTGATATATATCTTATACCCTGCACTGTTCCTTATAGTACGGCCCAAACTGTTCCCTAAACTACACCTCTAATAGTTCCCCACATTACGCCCCACACTACGCTCTGTACTGCTCCCCACAGTTCCCCACACGACGCACAATACTGTTCCCCACACGACGCACAATACTGTTCCCCACACGACGCACTGCACTGTTCCCCACACGACGCACTGCACTGTTTCCCACACGACGCACTGTACTGTTCCCCACACGACGCACTGTACTGTTCCCCACACGACGCACTGTACTGTTCCCCACACGACGCACAATACTGTTCCCCACACGACGCACTGCACTGTTCCCCACACGACGCAGTATGTATATATATCATTGTGTGATACCAAAACGCGTGCTTATGTACTCTCGGAACACGTTTCACGAACAAATATTGAAAGCTCTCAACATCCCTTGGCTTATTCAACGACATTGCGTGTGGAGATGATAGATCACTGAGAGGAGCTTATGCACACTCGATGACCCCAGCAACCTTGTTGCTAGGCTGACGTCACATGGCATTGTTTCGCCGATGGATCTTGCAACAAAATTCCACAATTTACGTCATCGGGTATTGTGACGTTATTGTCAACTTTGAGGTGCAAGGACCGTTCAACAAGGCGATCGTATTGTCGCGGAACGACAGTCGTTAGTCTGTTAAAGATTGTGAGTTGCGATAGTCTTGGCCATACGATAATTTTGTGAATTCTAAAGGTGGACCGTTGTATGGTATTAAATTCATACGTTTCAACTTTTGACGTGTTTGAAGTATTATTCTGTTTAACTCAATTGGACTATGCCGTGGATCGTGTAGGTTGTCAGCCTATTCATACTCAACAGAATGATTCTAAAAACGTTATAAATGGCAAGTAATAAATAAAATACTAAACTCGCTCCCGTGTAAAACCAATTTTATGAAACTCGTGAATGGATGTGGTATCTGACTCGCTTTCGCTCGTCAGATACCACAACTATTCACTCGTTTCATAAAATTGGTATTACACGGGAGCTCGTTTAGTATTCTATATATAATACAGCCAAGTGACCGTTCTTCGATGACAGAGTTGCGTCCCCTGGGCTCGCCAGAAACCTATGATTGTGGGTTCGAATC